TCTTTGGCCTGCCAGAGCTCGCGAAGCCATTCCTTCAGCTGAGTCGGCTCCTAGGAAGGGTGAGGTGGTGGGGTAGCTCATTAGAGGTCACCTGTGTCATCGAGCGGAGGGCAGCGGCCCCTCACAACCAGGCCAGGGATGCTCGCTGTCATACCTTGGGCACCGAGGCAACTGGAAAGCGCTGGGTATGAATGCAGACGCGGTCCCAACGCGGGGACATCATGTCGTGCAGTGAAGGCGCCGCAGGGCGTTCATGTGGGTGTTTGGAGCAATGAAAGGCGATGGTAACATCGTAGATGCTGTCACAGGTCTGCTGCAGCTGCTGGACGCAGGCCACAAAGCCACGATAGCGCGGCGCAAGCACATGCTCATACACTGGGACATTGGGAGGCAGGTCGGTAGGTAGAATAATGTCGGGGCGTCGCGTGCCCTCGGGGTAGATGCAGATCCAATATGGCCGTTGCTGCGTTTCCAGTTGACCCAAGGAGCGAGCCAGAGCACCGCTATCCTTGGCCCACTGGCGTCGGATAAAGACAAAGCCATGTTGGTGCCAGTAGCTGCCGAGAATGGGGACATATTTGAGGGCGGCCTAAAGTGGCAAAAAAATGGTTCATTTATGACGAAACCCGGCAGGAATGAGACGGCAAGGGCGTGGGGACGAGCCGGCGGGAATGCCGGGGCATGCCCAACCTTGACGATGAATTGCATGTTGCCCAGTCGTTGTCCGTGATAGGCCACCGCATCAATCATAAAGGGGTCGACAGAGCACTGGGGGCAAGGCCACGGCGAAGCAGATGAGCGGATGGGCGCTGTATCGCGGTTCGCGCCGAGCATAAGACACGCCAACAGCGGAGCATGATGGGTGGGGACGACACCTGGTGATTGGAGATGCAAATGGCATTTTCTTTTTGCGGAGCTGCGCCAGAGAGCCAAATCTGTAGGTGTACAGCAGGTTTGGTGCGAAAGAGGCAAGGGACGGTAGTGAGGCCTTTGTTTAAAGACTGCGGGCGGTGGCTGGAGCCCATGCAACCTGGCCTGCTGCCAAGACGGCGCGGGTAGGCTTGGTGTGGGATCATGGACCACGGAGCACGCGCGCGCGCGTGCCCTAGCGTGTATGCTAGAGTGTGCGAAGCGTGACCTGGGTGTTGCCAAGCGTGTAGAGGACACGCATGACGACGCGCTGGTAGTGGGAGTAGATGAGGCTGTCCAGCCAGTCGTAAACGCGCCACAGCGGCGGTACCAATGTGGCCACAACCTTAAAGCTGCCTAAGCGTTGGGCAAGGCGCCGTATTTGATGTCAGTCCAGACCCCTCCAAATAACAACGCTGGTGCAGTGGGGTACGGTGGCCGGGCCAATGACTGGCTGGCGGCGCTGGCCCTTGAGGACCGAGGAACTTAGGGGCAAGAGGCGGCCGGCCTGCCTGCCTGGTTGACCTCACCTGCAACAAAGGCGTAAATGGGCATGGGCAGGGTGATGATGGAGTAGCCCAGCGGCGCCTTGGCAAGCGTTGCCAGGTCCACCATGTTGTCCGGTCACCAGACACACTCCCAATCAGCCAAAAGCGAAACAGGAATCAAAAAAAAAAATAAAAAGCCCAAGAGAGCGCTGCAGGTGGCGCCACAAGCCAGACAGAGAGAGAGAGAGAGAGCAGAAGCAGAGAGAGATGAATTGGTAGAGAGGGCAGAGTGATTGTGAGAGAGAGAGAGAGAGAGAGGAGAGAGAGAGAGAGAGAGAGAGAGAGAGAGAGACTTTCATATCAACAACAAACCAAAAAAGGGAGACAAGAGAGATAGAGATCAAGAAGAGAGATAAGAGAGAGATTAAGAAGAAGTAAGAGAAGGAGAGAGATCAAGAGAGAGAGAGAGAGAGAGAGAGAGAGACTTTCATATCAACAACAAACCAAAAAAGGGAGACAAGAGAGATAGAGAGATCAAGAAGAGAGATAAGAGAGAGATTAAGAAGAAGTAAGAGAAGGAGAGAGATCAAGAGAGAGAGAGAGAGAGTAAAGAGACACGCGTGTTTTATAATTATCAGATCGAGTTTGAGGTACACGTGGTGGTGGTGACCTCAGCAGCGGGGCGATGGCATCGCCTGTGTTGTCGGGTTGGAAGGGCGGTTGGCTCTGGGTGCGGTTCACTCAACAGGATGGATTGCTGAATGCCATTCTTCTGTGTGTGCGTGTGTGTTGTTTGTAGATCAAATTTGGCAGGATGGGCGGAAAGTCTGACGAGGAAAAGGCGGCTCGCAAGGCAGCGCGTAAGGCGGCCAAGCGTGCGGCTGAAGAAGCGGCGACGGCAACGACGGCAACCGACTTGAGCGTCGCTGAGCCGGATCAAAAGAAGAAGAAGAAGGAGAAGAAACACAAGAAGGAGAAGACGGAGAAGACGGAGAAGACGGAGAAGAAGGAGAAGACGGAGAAGAAGGAGAAGAAGGAGAAGAAGGACGAGGTCAAGACGGAAGGCGCGACCCCGGCCGAAAAAGTCAAAAAGGCCAAAAAAGCCAAGGCAGACAAGGCCGAGCAGGCAGAGGTGGAAGTGGCTGAAGCAAAGAGCAAAAAGAAGAGCAAGAAAGAGAAAAAGAGCAAAAAGGACAAGACGCCCACCGACAAGCGCACCGCAGACGAAGCCCCCGAACCCACTGCCAAGCGCGCAAAGCCTGCGGCAGCCACAGGTACTCAACGGCTGCTTGGTCAACTCTGACGTGTGGGCACGCCACTTGCAACGGTGGTTCTTCATTTTTTGTGCTTTGCTACTCCTGACGCGCCAATCGCAGCGAGCACGTCGGCTGCGCCGGCTTCGGGTCGAGCCTGGAACGATTGGTCCAAGGCTGACTTTGGCAACGAGCAACAGGTTTGCTTCCCTTTCTGCTTTTTCATTGCTTCCGTTCAACCCGTCCTTGCCTTTCGCTAATCAGTGCGCCCAACGGATTCGCGCAGAAGAACAAGTTTCTGCGCCTCATGGGTGCCAAAAAGGCGGGTGCCAACAGTGGAAGCGCGGCTGGCAGCGGCAACGATGTCAATCAAGGTGAGCCTGTCCATCACCGTCCTGTTGATACTGCCTTTTGGCGGCGGATGATGCTTTCTTTCAAACCTCATCAACGCCGCCTGGTACAGGTACACAAATCAACAAACAGCTCGAGCGTCAGTTCACCGACGCGCTGCAGCGACAACAGGAGGCCAGCCGTTTTGGCATGAAGCGCACCGGATTTTCCGTGTAGCTGTTTCCTTCTGATCATCTGCTCTTGGTCACAAATGCCGGGTACTCAAAAGCGAGCCGAGTGAATGTGGTGCCATCCTTGGCCACCCGACGCCCAAAAGGAGAATGCATGAGAGAATGAGAGAAGGTGGGGAGGAGGCAGAGTGGAAGCAAACCGAAATAATCGCATGAAATTACTCAACGTTGTCACTCATCGTCTCGAAAAACACAGACTGTTTCTTTTTTCTCTTTTGTCTTGGGCCCAACCACCGACTCAGCTCAGGTGAGTGGCATCAAGGACCACGGGAAAGAACTGGCCGCGCACGGGCTGGCCGCGCGCCACGGGCGGGGTGTTACCAAGCAAAGGATCATCAGAATCAGAAAGAGTGCCGTCGGCCAGAAAGTTGACGACGGCTGCACGCCGCGGTCGTGGCGAACGGTTACCAAACGAGCCATGTACGCTCAAAGGATGGTGAATCACCGCCTCACCCCGGCGCAGGCGAAGGGTCACCGGTTCAAATCGGGCTAGCTCGTCGGGCTCGAGCACTGTTTTGATCGAGTCCATGTCTGCAAAATCAGCATCCGTGATGGGCAACGGCATGCCATTGCGATGCCAGCGGTGGGAGCCTGGCATGATAGTGATCCGCAAGCAAAGAACCCAAAACGAACAGACAAATAAACGTGTGGTAATGATGTCGCAGTGCAACGCTGATGCACGAGGTCGAAGTCAAGCATTGGACGCCCACGAAACCAAGACCGCTGATCAAGGCGGCCTGCTCTCCCCGGCACTGATACTAAGTTGGGAATGGCATCGGGCTCAAAAGGGCCAAACCAACCTGGGATGTAGGTAATGGCGCCGTTTTCAGGACTTTGGTCGTCCAAGGCCACATGGACCGTCAAATGTTGCATCGGTGTTGTTCGTGTCCAATACGAGTAGTCTGCAAGAAGGGTGGTTGGGTGAGGCCAGGCAGGGGGCGACAGGGGGTGGTTACACTCTGTCAGCTCTCAGGAGGAAATGAATTGGCTGCTAACAGGCTCACCTTGATGATAAGCCACATTTCCTCCGTGCGCAGCCGGCTTGCAAAAGAGTTGGTCATGCCAGAACCTTGTTGAGGTGATGGGCCCATGAGAAACAGGTTTGAAAACCCGCCAGCCAGCAACAGCTTTAACAATAGCATGTCCAGCGCGTCATGACCAACTAGCACCGAGAGTCAGGCAGGACGGAATTGCGTCTCAGGACCTCAAGCGGCACTTTTCACACCTGACAGAGGTTGGCGATCGGCCTTCGCCGGCAATAAGCTAAGCAGGATTTGAACGCCCCGAGCAATCAAAAAAGGGTCAGTTGCCAGCGCCAAGTGCTGTCATAGCGAAATGGCGATCTGCCTGTTTGCATCATTCAACTGCCAATGTACCTGGGCGCTCGGCACGGTGATGGCTGGATGAAAAATCAAGTCATGAAAGCCCTACAGGCGCGCCGCATGGGTGGCCGTGAGATTGTACGTTCAAAGAGAGAGAGAGAGAAAGAGAGGGAGGGAGGGAGGAGGAAGGAAGAGAGAATCTGCTTATGCTACAGAATCCCGTCTGGTTGACGTGGTGCTCAACAACCTTTTGAATTCGCCAATGACCAAGGCAATGCATAAGCACGTTGTTGGGGTCACCCGACTATCGGAGATCCAGCCACAATGAGTGCATCGTGGACAATCGGCCAAGGTAGATCAAGCACGCCGATGGAATGCGGGGCGTATTGTCCATATACTACTGACTTGATTGCGGTGAAACTCATGGAACAGGCCGTGCCCCGGGTGCAAGTCTGGTTGTTGAAAGGCTGCCAGCTCCTCGCAGAGGCGATCGCAATCTGCCTCGCTGAGGACGGGGATGTTGGCGACAAAGCCGTGCTGCCAATAGTGCTCAAGCTGCATTGTGGCAAAGATACAGATGTGCCCAAACAAGCAGGCGAGCTCTGATAAGACCAACAGCGCGAGGTCCTCGTGCCACGGATCACTGGCCCATCGCGTGACCGACAGCTTCAAACCTGGGTCGGGCTCAGCTTGTACCGCTCAAAGTCGGCTGGCTGGGATGGCAGCTGATAGTCCAGCGCTCCCAGCGGGTGATGGATGGTGCTCAAGTCGCAGATATCCATGGGCACCTGTTCTGAGACCATGCCGCGAACAGCTGCCTCGTTGCGATACGCCCCGTCTCCTGCCACACCAAGTCCCAGAAGCGATCGCGGCACGATGAACCCGCACCGTCAAAGTGTCACGCACATTTGATGTTTACCAGACCCCCGTTACATGCGAGGCGGCAGCCAGTGAATCTTGCTCCATAAAAGGACTCACCGGTGGCTTGGGTTGTGGCGTAGCGGTGTTGTGACCCTTTCAGCCTGACCAGCCGCCTGCTTACGGCCCGTTGCAGGGCCACACCGCCGCCACGCCCGCCCATTCGGAGCGCCATGCCAAGAGTTGCGAGGATCTTGAACCGGTTAAAGTCGTCGAGATAACGTTCTAAAAATTGCCAAAATGACAAGCGAAACTTGTTCTGTCTGACAATGTGATTACACATGTAATAACTATTCCATGTGTTGCTATGACCTTGAATGTTACTATGGTGTAACCCAGCGGCGCTTGTCGGCTTCATTTTTCTCCTCGACACGCGCGCGCCTCAGGGTCACACACGTCAGGCTACAGTCACAGTTGAATCAAAACCAAGAAAAAAACGTGCATCATGGCGTTCAGGAGGAAGTACAAAGCCACGGACGAGACGCCCTCGTCGCATTACTGGCGGATTATGCCGGGGGAAACCAAAGAGGAGCGAGCGTATTCGTGGCGGACGTTCAGGGAACACGCGGTGAGAGCCGTCGGGTCGGACGCGTCGGACCAGGTCATGGAGCATCTCCAGCACGTCCTCGACGCGCAGGTCATGGAGGTGCAGTACAAATTGTCGCCAAAGCGATGCCCCCAGTGGTGGGCGACTGCGATGGCAGATAGCATTACATCCTTCCTGAGGGCGGTAGCAGGAGAGCAGACGGACTTTCGCAAGCCATCGGATGCAATGGTGATGGCAGAACGGGTTGAAGCGTGGTCCGAGGCGCAAGCGGTGCCGGCGGAGGGGGGCGGAGGTGCGTGGAAATACCAGGGCCCGCCGCGCTATCAGAAGCCGCCTACTGTGCAAGGGGGTGTATCCGTGTGCTTCGATTTCAACGGCCAAGGTTGTGATCGGAAAAGGTGCAAGTTTGCACACCGCTGCCGTACGTGTGCAAGCGAACAACACGGAGCGCTAGCGTGCGGAGTGACACTTGCTCAATAAAGGGACTCACCGGTGGCTCGGGTTGTGGCGTAGCGGTGTTGTGACCCTGTCAGCCTGACCAGCCGCCTGCTTCCGGCCCGGTGGGTCTTGAACCGGTTAAAGTCGTCGGGACCAACGTTGGGGAAATTTTTTTTTTTTTTCTCTGTCGCTGTTTTTGAATTTACATGTTAGCTCAATCTCTGATTCTTGCTCTATTTTGTCATAATACCGTTTTATCTATACGCGACATTCTCTGACAACTAGTGTCCCTTCCACACCATCTCTGACTTTTTTGCCGCGTTTTCTCTCTCTCTCTCTCTCTCTTTTCAGCGGCAGCAGCATCATCATCATTAGGGCGACACCCGTCGGTCGGGCTGCACGGGTTGCGGTGTTGTCGACGAGGCGTGGCAGTCAGATTGTTGTGGCTTGTGGGCTGGCTCTGGGCACAGTCGTGGTACCAGGCGTGGTGGACACTGTGACGGACGCCGGGGGCCGTTGAAACGCGAATGACGGACGGCCATGGCGTTGTCACCGACCTCCTTCCGATACTATGTCTGGGACCCTCTGCTGCTACTCAGTCAAATCGTGACGCTGCAGTGTGTCTTCTATCTCATTCTGGGCTTGCTGGCAACCGTAACGGCCCACGCCGTGGACACTGAAGCCGGCCTCGATTTCCTTTTTGCTGAAGAGGTACGCCACCACACTTTGGCCACGCGGCCACGACCAGCTCCAACGTGGCTCAAGCCGGTTGCCTGCGTTGAGCGTTGTCCGGTGGCCGAAACTAACGCACTGCCGTGTGCCGGTGGCCCTGCTGTAGTCTCTTGACATCTGGCAGTTCTATGGTACCTTCGTCACGGCTTTTTTCCTGACGTAAGTGCGGTGTAGCTGGCACACCCTCCTCCCCCCCGGCCTGGTTGAATCCGCCCGCTCACGTGCTTCGTCAATCCCGCCGGCTTGCCATTCGTGCAGGGCCCCTGCCATTGCCTTTGCTTGTCGCCGCGCCCCACAGGTATGTCATCTCGAATTCTATCCTGCCTCTCTGATCAAATTCATGCTTTCGACGTCTTTGGCTTTTTTTCTTTTGAGCCAAAACAAGGCTTTCTGGCTCACCCGTCATCCTTGTTTCCGACGTAGTGTCTGGACTTTGCCTCGACAATTTTTCTGCTTCATGTGGTCATGTGTGGATTTTATGATGGCATTCCCCGACGGCTGCGTTGGTGGTTGCTTCAAGGCACCGGCGTTGCCATCATGGCCCTACTGGCCGAGTACACGTGCATTCAGATTGAAATGCGCAGCAGCATTGAGGTGGAGACGCAGCCGCCAGCCACCCCTTCCAAAACACGTAGCGTCAGCTCCTTGCCCATTTAAACATTCCAATTTGGCAGGCATTAGCACAGCTGAAAGGCTCAGACAGTATCGGAGCTTGTGCGGCAGAGCCGCAAGCTTTCGGTCGTTTTTCTTTGTGTCTCCCCACCGGCAGGATTGTTCTAAATATCTTACCGAGTTCCCTTGTAATTTAGATCTTGGTTCAAATAGCAACTGCGCATATCTGGTGCACACCATCGGTTTATTCGCGTTTCAAGAAGCCAAGTGCCAGTGTGCATCGGCGACGCTCGTTGGAATGATATGATAATGTTGAAAACGATGGGAAAAGTGTAGAAGTAAGGATTTGAGCAGGAGGGCCAAATCCGTACGAGTTTAAAAGTCACGTGCGGTGCTCAGGCTGAAGCATTCACTAACCACACAATCTAACACTAGCATAACCAGAAAAGGGGAGAAGAGACGCGAGGAGAGAAAGAGAGAAAGAGGAAGAGGAAAGCACAAAACGAACCAGAAAGAGAGAAAGAGGAAGAGGAAAGCACAAAACGAACCAGAAAGAGAGAAAGAGGAAGAGGAAAGCACAAAACGAACCAGAAAGAGAGAAAGAGGAAGAGGAAAGCACAAAACGAACCAAAGAAAAAAAAAGATGAAAAACAAAACACAAAATGGGAGGCGTGATACCACTCTGGCATAGTTATTGCATCGCAACTAAATGATCGAGTTGCCTTCTTCATCCGAATCAGGCTGCATAAGGCTCTGCCGTGCATCGGGTTGTTTCAAATGGCGGACATGCCCCATGGCTGTCTCCTCTCCCCAAGAGCCGACTGAAAACCGGTCTGGGTCCATGGCTGCCATTGAACCAGGTGCAGCCTCATTGATCGGATCAAGACCGACGCGCCTTTCCTCGTCCTCCCCCGGAGCTTCCTGATCTGACTCGTCCGACTCGGCATTACTCTGGAGAAAGCATTTTGCATGCCAACGGACAAAGCATGAGAGAGGTGAAGGGAGAGAAGCGGCGGCGTTCGGCAAGCAGGCAGACCAGCAGAAAATTCGCACCTGATGGTGGTACTTGTTGTACTTGGATGAAAAGTTTCGGATAGTGTCATGCACCAAGTCCTTGGGGCTGATCACCTGTGGATACGCCACAATGTCGCGATGCACACAAACGCATCAAAGGTGAGAAAAAAAAACCCAAAATGAAGAAACAAAACACCCGGCACGCTGGCATAAGTGCGGGTTCAATGCAAATCAGGGCATGACGAAGGCGCGCACAGATTTGAGATTGCTAGAAACTCGGGCTAAGGCATGGGCATTGGTGGTTTCGCTGCTCGTTGAGAGGAATGGCTGGACTGAAAAGGCCTTGAGGTGGAGAATGGAGATGAAGAACATTTCGATGCAGATGAAAACGTTTTGGTAGGCCGCGGAAAGTTCACCATTGCTAACTTGTGTCTCATTGCGAAATGCGCCAGCTGCACCCGCGATGGAAAGACCCATGCCTTGCCAAAAGGCCAAGAAGATGACCGACTTGACAATGAGGAACTTGAGCACGGGTTTGTGGGGCCTACGGTGTGGACATTTAAAATAAGCCACGGATGCGGTTGCAAAGGTGTGGCTGGTGGGGAACAAAACGCACGCGAGAAGGTCTGCTGTAGCCTGATAAAACCAAACAAGACCCATCATGGCCATGAAGATGGAAATATTGTAGGCGATGGCCACGTAGAGGTACCCGCGACGTGGATCCATGTCGCCCTCTTCAAACAGGCCGTCTAGCATTTTAACGAGATGTTTTCAGAAGTGGACGGCACGACGAGTAGACCATGAGCGCAACGGTCGCTCAGAGTAGAGGCGGCAGAGCAGGCGGGCATACATGCTTCAAGGATGATGGTGGCGAGAGAGGTGAGGGGCTTGACAAAGCAAAATTGAAGGGTACACTGCTTGCAAAAGCGAAGAAAGGCAATGCTGTAGGGGAATGGTTTGATGCAGCACGTCATGGTGACGAGCGTGGGCTTGTGAAAGCGCCCTGCCATGACGGAACAAGCAAAGCATCAACCATACGGTTGAAGATGGCATGAGTCAGGATGAAGGAACGTGAATCAAAGTCTGCAAAGGAATAGCTCGGAGGGGGTCGCGTCTGCCAGACCTGTGAGCGCGTGAACGAGGGCGCTCTCTCCCCCCAAGTAGGCGAAGCAGAGGGACAGGAAGCTGTAGATGACAAAGGACTCGTAGCAGTTGCGGACGGTGTCAAAGTAGACCGAGTCATCGTAAAATTTGAGGCTAAGCCAACTCGCAAAGGCATAGACAGGCACCTATGGGAAGCCGGAGGCGGCGGGAGCGCCGAGTGTTGAGCAGGTGTGCGAGGGAGGACTCATTTGCTGATCAAGGCGATGGCAGAGGAAGGCACCGACGGAGACATACCATAAAGAGGATGCGCACGATCCATTTCTGATAGATGGGTTTGGTCCAGTGAAAGAGGTGCTGGTAGATCTGATGGCAGGTGATGATCAAGGAAAGGAGGGCAAACACGCCGCACACGCCCCAGGTCGTGTTGGAAAAGACCCAGGAGGACATGGCGCTCGATTTCAAGCACCAGCGACCGTGGTGGCCAAGAAGGGCAATGGAGAAAGGGAGCCTGCAGCTCGTCAGTCAGCCAGGGACGGCGGCTGTTTCAGGTTTGGGCAAAGTATTCTTGTCAGGAACGACAGGGAGATGGTCACCCGCTTGACATGGTCCTCCCGGCGCGACCGGCAGCAGCATGCAAAGGACTGCGCGTGGTGAAGGTCGAGCAGCCAGGCGCATGCGCGAGTGGCTGCGTTTTGACACAAGCTAGAGGACAAGGGTGCCGCGTGGCCCTTGCGCTGCACCGCAGCCTGAGAAATCTTGGCCTGCACAGCCGCACAAGCGCCAGCCGCAAACCCGACCCCGTTCTTCGTCGCTGCTTCTCTCTCTGCCTGGAACGTTTCCGCCGGCTGTTGTTGGTGTTGCGCGTGCAAAAAGCACAGAGAGAGAGAGAGAGGGAGATTTAGAGAGAGATTTCGAGAGAGAGAGAGATTTAGAGAGAGAGAGAGAGAGAGATTTAGAGAGAGAGAGAGAGAGAGAGTTTGAGAGAGAGAGTTTTGAGAGAGAAAGAACCAACAGAGAAAAAACGATCGGAAAGGAGACGTAAACAAACAAAAGAGGTTCGGTGGAGTGAGTGAGAACGGCTTCTGCTGGTGATGGGGTTCATTTTCTTCCTGGTTGGGGCGGTTCTTCGTAGTCGGGCGGCGGGGAAGCGATTTTGTGGGAAAGGATCAATAAAAGGACGTAACAAGCAAGGGCACAGCACCAACTTGGACAACCATCGACAACGACAACACTCGCTGAGACTTCTGCCATCTATGCATTCAATCAGGATACATCAATTTCAATTGGCCGAGCGACCATCAAGTGGGGTGCGTGGAACACGTGTTCGCGTCGAGAAAGCCGCATAGTATTCGTCCACGTTTGCATCTACAAAGTGCAAATGGGGCTTGAGCACGAGGGCAGATCACTTCAACAATAGAATAACAATATCATCTTCTTGTCATGAGCGCTACATACCGCCCTCCGTGCCCATGGCTGCCATGACCTTGTCTGAAGGCGGGGCTGGTCGTTGCTGTGCAGCTGTCAATTTCTGAAGTTGACCACAAATCCACAACCCAGCAAAAAGCAAACGCCACAGCCAGGTGAGCCAAAGCCGGAAGTTGCATGCTGCACAGCCGGGCTTCTCTCCCAGACAAGAGACCCACCACACCACCAAGTTTTGATTGCAAAAGTGCCGAAGCCTCATCATCCATTGGCAACGGCCTATGAAAAGCACGAGGACAAAGCCAATCACCATCAGTCAACCTTGAGCAAGGTGGTAAAGACACAGACCAGACTTTGGCAGCCAACGCATGCGACAGGCACAAACATACGCTGGTGTGGGGGTGGCACCCTCTTCCTCCTCCTCCCTCTCGTCTCCATCACTTCGCCGAGTAGCTGTACCAGCTCGTGAGACTGAGCGCGATCCATGCCGCGAATTGTCACCCACAGGGCCGTGACGTGAAGTCGATGTTCGTGGCCGTGACGCGGCTGCAGAAGCCGCAGCTGCAGATCGGTGGCTGGACGGCCGCGATCGTCGTTGCTCACCCGCCGAGGCCTGCCGACTGGCCGTCTTGACCCGTTGCAGGGCCTGCGATAGCCGCAAAGCCTGCTCTTCAATGGACGTAGCGGTAACCTTGTTGCGTTGTGACGATGGTCGTGACGAGGTTGTGCGGGGCCGGCCAGACGATGATCTTGGAGGTGGTGCCGAGTCACCCCCCGCCCCTTCAGCATTTCGGCTGCTCGAGGATGGTCGGGGGTTGGGCTGAAGCAGCTCGTCCAGTAATGCCTCACCGCTAAGTGCAAATTCACTTTGGGGCAAGGCCTCACCCTAGTCAGTGGCAAGTCACAGAGAAAACCAACACATGAGCACATGAGGACCACCAAAGTACTTTGAGTCAGCACTAAAGCTGCAACAACAATAGGGCCAGGCTAGCACCTCTTCAAGATCCTGGATGAACGGATCCATGTCATTGGCCACGGGCAATGCGTGGTCAGGACCATCATCCTCAACAACAGCATCGTCATCAGTTTCATAGCCATCGGCCTCGGTGGGATCTGGTCAACGGAAGCGTGGCGTGAGGTATGAGGAACAACCGCAACGTTGTTCACTGATCGATGCCTCTTTATTCGCTCGAACATTCCTTCCTGCCCGGGTCGGGCACGCCTCCTCTCAGGCGGCCAGGGTCGCGGGAGTTTGAATGAATGGGTGACTGACCACTGGCATCTCCCCGCAGCTGTTCCAAAACATAGCCAAGCTGCACGGCCATGCTCTCAGAACAGGCGCGTTGCTGAGCCTCCAGGGCTTCGTCCAGACCCTGTTCCCGAGCAACGCTACGTGCACGAGGTCGTGCAAAGAGTGCGTATAGACACCCGTTGATGCAGGTGCGCACTTGCTCTACCTCGTGCTCGACCAAATTGGTCAGCACCTCTATAACATGAGGGAGACCAAGGTTGCTGTCATGCCAGGACCCTTCCGCAGATTCAAAACACAACAGAACGCCAAGTGCAGCGTGCGAATCAGACAACACAACGTACGGAGGACACGCTCCAGCTGGTCCATGAGCTCGTTTTTACCACGCGTTCGAAGGCACAGATTCAGAAAGGAAGCAGCAGCATGTTCCAGCGTAATATCACTCAGCTCAGATGGGTTCTCCAAGGCCTCAAGCAACCAGTCCAAAAAACCTATGTCCGCACATCGGCACAATAAGCACACCTTGCAGCCCCACCATGATGCCTCTGGTGCATGGATCAGGGGACACACCGAGCTTCATGAGCCGCGTCTGACAGTGGCGGCGCATGCTAAGCTTTTGAAGAGCACCGAGGACGCCCTGGCGTGCCGATGAATCCTCCGTCGTCACCTCGAGATGATCAATCAAGACGGGCATCACTTGGACATTCTATGAACCGGCACAAAAAAAGTCAGGAGGTGGCCATCAATGATTTGGGGCTGGCATGCTTGCCCAAGCACCAACCTGTGCCAGATAATCGCGTCCAGCTGCGGTAAATGCTAGTAAATTGATCAACCTGGTTGGGTCAAGTTGCATGCAACTTGAGAACGACGATTGATAGGGGTCGCCGACGGCCCCCGACGCCGTGCACAACGTACCGTGCTGCGTTGTCACGGACAAAAACATCGTCGCTTCGTAGCATCAGTTCCAGCTGTCGCAACGTGTCTCAGGTTGAGAAGGCAAACGCGGGAAAAAGTATGCAGCACAGCACTGTCAACATTCAATTTGCAACTCACCAAGGACTGGTCCTGGCTTGAAATACCGAGGAGATCATTGGAGCAGACGAGGTTGACGAGGCGAGCTCGCGCTCGGCCCGGAGCGGAATGGGCCAAACGCCAGCGGATGGCCTGTAATAGCAAGGCGCTATGCCTAAACATGAATGATGGGAATCCGTGAGAGCTAGACCCCTGCAAGAGACGCCAGGGTAAGCGCTCTGCACCAACCGCAAGTCTTGGGCTGATAAGGCTTGCTTTACGTGCAAGAGCAAGCGTTGGAGATTGGCATCTTCCGTGGTGGTGTCGGTAGGAGCTTCAACATGCGGCCCATCTTCACCAGCCTGCAGGGTGGCCGAACAAGAACCGTGCGGCATAAATTGACCAGGCCAACCAGTGGTACAAGAGCACATATGGCATACCTCAAGGGAGGCGGCGACTTGAGCTTTGGCAACGCGCTCCATGAGTTTGAGGAGATGCTCTTGATGCAGCGGTTCACCCCGCAGCGTCAGCTCCAGTAAGCTCAGAAGATCTAAATTGGCATCGGGATTGTACATGCGCACACGCGTAGGTACGAGCATGTCGATGAGCTTCTGTGGATAAATGTGTAGTACGCCAGCCGTCGTGGCATGCAGCTTCCGCACGGGCGTGCTCCTGGTGAGGATAGCGCATCTGCACGTACCCCCAGTGACCGCCAACAGCGACTGATATTCGACCTGTAGACGATTATACCTATGGTTCCCATGATTTCCGCAGAAATGCCATCAAAGTCGGTGCACAAAGCCTTGGCAAGAAAGTCACGGACACGGACACGGACACGGACACGGATACGGACACGGACACGGACACGGACACGGACACGGACACGGACACGGACACAGACACAGACATGGACACGGACACGGACACAGACACAGACACAGACACAGGCATTTACTTGCAAGTCAAAATTTTGATGGAACAAGAAGTCAAACCCAATTCAACAGTAGCCACGAGGGACCAAAAAAGGCTTCCACACAACACGGCCAAACTGCGACAATAGAGTGGATCATACTGAAGAATGTGGCGCATTTCACGGTCTTCCTTCTCTGACAAGGCCTCTTGCAGCGTCTGGGCGACATTGGGGTTGCACAAGGGTGAACCAGCCCTTATTAGCACTTGGAAGATCGCCAGGGGGCCAGCAACAAACCTCAATGTACTCGCGTTGGGGGCCCTGCTGCTGCGAGGCTTGCGATGCCTAAAACACAAACATTTGAAGAGACCAGCAAGCACAGCAACCGTGAGCTGAGGCGCTTGATGTCCTCGTGGCTGGATAACAGAGCACAGGAATACCTGGTAAACGAGCTTGAGACGCGGGGTACGGCTGGCAGCAAGATTGTTGGCAAGAAAGGTCTCTACCCGATAGCGTAGCTCACTGGGCCAGTTGGGTGAGAACACGGCTTGGAAGGAAGGGTGATCTTGAGGCTCTGGTACGTAATGCAGCCCATAATAGGGCAGAAACTCGGGAGACTTGCTGTGCATGATCCAGTCACGGCGAAGAACATGGCATGGTGAGCATGCTTCAAAGATCGAATTTCACCACACCAAAAGCAGAGGGGCGATATGAGACACAATCATGATGCTACCTGAGCATGGGCCCTCGATTGTCAATAAATTGCTTGAAGCGCTGCATGCTGAGCTGAGGGTCTTGATTCTAGCAGGACCACGGTGGTTCGATGAGAAGACGATCAGACAGCCATGTCAGCATGTTCCTGGAGCCGGTACAGACTTGAGGTGGAGCAAGTGGGTTGGTGTGAAAGGGCAAGATGGCATGGTACACTTGCACATAAAACTCGAGTTTTAGGCAAGTTTGATCGTGATCGCGCACCGCCTAAACACCACGGCAGAAGACCAAGGGCCTGTCATGCGACCCTGGGTTGGAGCAGAACCGGGTCATTCAAGCTGCTAGGTCACTGCCACACACCTCTGGTAGATGGCTATGCCACAAGCGAAAGAACTCGGCATGTTGGCCGTGATCAAAAGCAGCGAGAAACTCCTGACACCAACAACCCACGTTGTCATGGGCATATGAACCATGAGCGCATTGAAGGTAGCCGATAGATTGGACAGCTGTTGGGGTCGCCAGAGAACCAACAGGATATGCAAGGTACATCAAGAGTCATCAAGAGTAATAGTACACTACCTTGGACAGGTTCGCTTGGTGAAGGGCCGAGACAGAGTCGGTATGTGAGCCTGCATTTGCCTCGATGCCGCGGCGCTGCAACTCCAGCTCAAACTCGTGTGCAGCCCCGTTGTAGCCCTCCACTTGCAGAAACTGTTGGGTTTTGAAAACACGTATAAGACTGAGGAGGGGCGCTTGTTGGGCGAACAAAGCCTCTCACGTACGTCAAGCACGATGCCCGTGAGCTGTGCATCCTGTGCCTGCTTTTGCCGTGGCTGTGCCATGGTCACCAGCGACACCTATAAGCTTGCCCTTGCCACCTTCCCCGCTGTGTCCCAGAGCAGCAGCCCACCGTCAGGGCAATCCACCAAGCCAGTCACCCATCCAGACACATGCTCATACGCGAATCGGCAGACACAAAGGGCATGTGCAGTGAGGCGGCAGCCAACCGATACCCAGGCAACCCTGACACCAGCGTAGTCCTGCTGCTGCTGCTACTGTTGCTGTTGTTGTTGTTGTTGTGAGAAAACACAGAAATTTCAAATTTTGAAAACTTTTTTTTTTTTTTTTTCCTTGTTTCATGTTGTTATCAATCATCATGAGACACTTGGCGTTGGTGCGTCAAGTGGTCTCTGAATGGGTGCGTCAAGTGGTTCTACGAAAGGTTCTGAATGGGTGCGTCAAGTGGTTCTACGAAAGGTTCTGAATGGGGATAAATTGACAGAATGGCAAGAGGCCAAAAAACAAAACAGAAACAAAAAGGCAAGGGTTGCAGTCAAACACAAAGGTGAAAAACACTGACTGGAACGACACAAGTAAGGCAGGCGGCATTGCACGATGCAAAACGTAAAAAGCAAAAAACAAACAAAACAAAACATGCCACACATTCATCCACAAACACGCTGGAACTGGAAACTTTGGAGGCGAGGTAGGGAGGGGGTAAAAAAGTAGCAGAAACAGCAACAGAAAGAAGCAAGTAAAAGACTCTAAGGCAGGTTTAAATCCAGAACTGATGATCATGAACAAACAATCCCGGGTATCAAGCAGGGATCACAACAGACAAGACCCTCATTTTGAAAGACCAACACAGAAAGAAAGAGGGATAGTGGATGCGCAAAAGGTCAAAGGGCAACGGAGAGCAGGGAACGCGCAGGTGACTAGCAAAGGGGGCCGGGTTCATACGGCCGTCGAACCGCCACCAGGCGCCGGCGCAGAAGAGGTGGGTTGACCTTGATTCATGCCACCCCGTCCAATCAAACTGGACGTAAAGGCTTCAAAGGAAGAGGTGGTGGGCGGCGCACCTGCAGGGACGTTTTGTTGCAAACCCATGAAAAAATCGTCCATGTTGGCCCAGTCAAAGTTGCCAGATGCCAACGCGGGATTGAGTGAAGCAATGTTGCCCAGGTTGCTTGGCAGCGTCACATATGTCGACTGTGCTTGCATACCAGCCGACTGGGGGTGTGAATGCATGGCAGCACCTGCATAGCCACCATAGCCCATGTTTGGCTGCTGTGAAAGCGATTGTTGTTGGTGTTGATGTTGCCCTTGTTGAGGCATGAACAGTTGCTGCTCCTGATGGCGCGGCTGAGACAAATGCGAGGTCGCACCCATGCCGCTGGCTGACAATCCGACTGGCACGGACGATGCGGCACCACCCACAGCACTCATGGGTGTAGCGGGGCTCATAGCGCTGCTCATACGGCTGTCCATGCCGTCACGGCCCGACGTGTGCGAGGCTCGCGAGGTGTCACGGCGTACGCTACGCTTGGCCGGACCGCCTCCGTCCATGTTATCCAGACTGGATTGGGGGCGTGATTCGAAGCGCAGACCTGTGTTCATCTGTCGGATGACGGCGGCGATATCCGCCATCACATATCCTGACGCCTTTTTCTTTTCAACCTGTCACAGCAAAGCAATCGGCACGTTGAGCAAGGTGGCAGAGGCTTCTCGACACCATGGCGTTGGCGTGATAATGGTTGCATGATTTGAATGTACCTTGGTGACGGGCGTGATGAGGGGCCCAAAGGAATCTTCTTTTGGACGACCCGGGTAAAGGTGGGTGAGGTCATCCAAATCTACGGCGCCAATGACAGATGAGGCAATCGAGAAGCGGTAGTGCCTGGCATGAGCTGAAGCGATGCATCGGCGGCAGTTGCTGTCAAAGCTTTTATCCCAAATGCAAGACAACGCACCAAGAATGCGCTCGGGCAAGTTACGGATGGCAAAGTCCTTAAGTTGCCATGGCTGCAGATGAAGAATCTAAGCAGTTGCCACCACGCATGATGCCAAAGCGTGATCAGAGATGATATAAAGAACCCGTAAAGCAAATCACAAGATAACGGACAGGCTTGAGGAGGTTGTTAAAAAAAAAAAAAGAAAAAAAAAAGAAGAAAAAAGAAAAGGGCGCATGTTGTGACCGTACCTGTCGGTCCCCATCTTCATCGACGGTGATCCACGTTACGCTAAGGCCACCCAGCATCGAGGCACTAAATCGGAGCACAAAAGTGCCAGGGCTAGCGTCCTGTGGGACAGACGACCGAGGTCCGATAAGCTGAAGGAACGAGCATCGTTTAAGAGGAAAACGAGAAAAAAACGGACAAAACACCGACCATCATCAACTCCTCGCTGCGATCTTTGCTGATGAAGCCATGAATAAGACCAGCCTCCCACACGGGCTTGAGAAACTGCGTCCATGCGAAGGGTGACGTTCATGGAGCGAGGTGAGATTGGATGAGGCGAGGCGAGGTGGCACAATGCATGTGGGAGTTGCAATAAAGGTTCAAAGAAGCGGTACAAGTAAGGGGCAGAGACTGACTTTGCGGCTCAGCTCGCAAATGTTGTAGAACCACTCCCAAAGCGAGAAGGTGCGACCCGCCAGCGGTTCCTTGGCCAAAAGAGGCCAGGGATAAACCATGTTATCCGCTACATCAGCCCAAGCCAGAGGCAACCAGCATTAGTCGAAGCATCACTTGGAACATTAAGAAGGAAATCCATCGATGGTACATACGGGATTGGCCTGCGAGTTGGGATAGAAAAACAAAGTGATCCGAGTTGAGGCTGACGCCGACTTGGTGTTTATGGTAGGCCGACAGCGCGTGGCACACCCTGTTCCAGGGCACCACCGCGTCGACTTGGAATCCCGTCTATCCACACGAACAGCAATTGGTGCGATAAGAACTCGATATTCACATTGTGCAGCGGGAGGCGACAAAAGCTAGCCAACCAAGAACATACGCGAGCGGGCAGGGCAAAGGCCCGATCCCACATGATGGTAGCCTCGGCGCTCGGAAGCTGGTTGCCATGTACCACGACGACGATAGGGGCCGATAGCTTGTGCAAATTCAAGACCTTTATGCGGAGGGAGGGCGTCACGGGGTGTGTGAGAAAGAACACGAAACGCAGGTCACGGTGCAGTCGAGACCAGCCAAAGCCCACATACCACATCGCCTTGACTCAAAGTGAGCGTTAGGGAATAACACAGGCTAAACTTTTCGTCCGTCACGCTCTGTTTTAAAAAAAAAAAAAAAAAATAAGACGGTTGATGAGTGCAAGATGAAGAACGACAAGAAAACTTTGTCCCGGCAAAAAGAGGATGAGAGGGGGGACGATATTTTGAGCCATGACGCACCACATCAGACTCGCCCTTGTCAGAGCGACGAATCTTTTTGAGAGACAATGTTTTAAAGGCAGCTTGAAGGACGCCGTCAGCCGACGCACTGCCCAGCACCTTTTGGTTGTTCTGCAAGCCTCCACTCTCGCCTACTGCGTCCTGGCGTTGCAAACCAGAAAGGCCGGCTTGGTTGCGCTCATTAACGTCAATGGCCTGACTCTCGTTGATGACGCTGACCGTGACCTGGGCGGTGGTAGTGAACCACATTTGTGAAGCATCATATGAGAGAGCGCGATAATGGCCGGGCTGCGAATGGCCGCAAAACATGCGGTACGTTGAATATTAGGAACGATGACTCACCGTGGGGGGATCCAGGAAGAGTGCCAGCGCATCGCTAATCAAAAACGCGCACGTGGTTGTAAACTTGGTCTGCGTCTTGAGTACACTGGGTGGCTGAGAGATGACCACCAAGGCCCTGGACATATGATGCATTAAAGTCAGAACAATGATCAATAATGATCAACAAGCAGAGGAACGCAAGCGACAAGCAAGCGAATCGGCCAATCGATGAAACGAACGAGCTCAGCAGGCGACCGAGAACGTCCATATAGGCCAGCATGGTGTTGACCAGCTCCGTTTCTGCGCCAAAAGTCGCACATCTCGGTGAGGTGGGCCATTGAGGCGGACACGAGACAAGACGCGATACGAAAGTACATACCAGCGGCCTGATTCAGAGGCAGTTGCGTTTGAAGCAATACGTGCTGGCGCACTTGTTGGTAAACGTGGACAATACCCGAAGCGAGAGTTTCTAAAAGAGGCCGTGCCAAACATGGTTTGCAGAAAAAACAAATTGTCCGGATGAGAGCAACTAACCAAAATAACGATTTGGGTTCCCAAGATTGAGCGCCAAAGCATGATCCAAGCTTCATTTGCTCTCTTTTTGCAGGATCGTGCCAGCGCAAGGACATACCGCATCGCTTGCGGGCAGCAGTAAATTCCGGGGTCGTCATGCTGGCACTGGAATCCTGCTTGGCATTGTGGGTTTGCTCCCAAAGCTGTGCCAAGGGGTCGGGGTTAAGATTAGCGCACCGCCGGGCTGAGAGGCGATGGATCATGTGGCGAGCAACAGCTGTACCTGTAGGGTTTGAGCAACGTCTCGGACGTTGTCGCTCACATGGGGCAAGCACTGAGCCAAGCGATCCTTGAGTTCTTGGCGACTGCGCAGCAATTCTTGGGCATCCACGACGAGCTCTTGCTCAGTCACTTGTTTCAAGCGCGTCATTTCCTGAACCTAATGACGGCGACCGAGCAAGTGAGCATACACATGCCCGCACATTGGCGCATCCGATGTCAAAGTGTATGTGCGTGCAAGGGCTCGACGCGAAAAGAGCCCACTGACCTCTGACGGCAGCTGGCCAACCCCGCCTTGATTCTGATGCGGCGGGAGAGTCAAGTGATTGGGAAATATGAGATGAATCTTGAGGCCGTGGACCGGCAATGAAAGCGGGGTGG